ATTCTGACAGGAAGCTCTATCAACAAGTTGTGACAAAAGTTTTAATAAAGTTATACTGAAATATAAGCAGTATGAATTTAATTGCATAAGTAAAAAGCCTTAGCGTTTTTAAAAGTACCGAAGTTTTTTCGTAGTTCCATGACAACTGAAATTGTTTACAAACCCTTTTTTGCTGTTTAATACTTACTTTCATGTGCCAAATACGGTAAAAATAGGCAAATGCTTCAGATCTTAAATTTAAAAAAAAAAACTCATAAAAAACGTGTTAATAACAAGCTTTTATGGTCCTAGGTGCTTTGACCACTGCGGATCTTTGACCATAGGGGGTTTGACCATAGGGGGTTTGACCATAGGGCTTTGGCCACAACGTGGTTTTGACCACAGAGGGGGGTTAACCATAGTATATGAATTTTAAATTAGAAATTATAAACTGTTATTTAATTCAAATTTATGACGAAATTAATACGATTTTATACATGTTTCCCGAGAGTCCATTAATAGAAATTAACATGTACTAAAAAAAGTCAAGAGCGATATTTTAGTTTCCACATAAAGGCTGGTGCTAGACCTCATAGATTTATTTTAAATATAAATGGAACACAAATAATGCGACAACATAACAAGTTTTACAAATAAATAATGGCATATTTTTATCCTTTTTACTTTCTCGTATATACGTAGTATAGAGAAAGTATTGTAATCGTGCAAAAAAAATCGAGATTTTTACAAATCTCGACGTTTTACACCTCACTGATACGGAAAAACATAATTTTGCAATCTTGTCCGTATGTCTGTGTGTCTGTGTGTGTGTCTGTGTGTGTGTGTGTGTGTGTAAACACGATTACTTGAGTACCGTTACAGCTAGGTTGATGAAATTTCATATATAAGTATTTTATCAAAATCGTAGATCCGTATCACCTTTTGAGCGATTTCCGATAACCGGAAGTGGTACTTTTTCTACTTTGAATTTTTCAAAAGCCTATAACTTGAGTACTATTTCAGATAGATAAATGAAATTTCACATGTAAGTAAAAGATCTAATTCTCTACATTCTGTTAAATTTTGAGTAATTTCCGTTGACGGGAAGTACTAATTTACGCTATTTCCGATTTCTCAAAAACGCATCTAAATTTATAAAGTACTAATAATATTGCGCACCATTATGAACATCTTTATTCGGCGTTCACTTGGTGTGCAATACTTTTTTCTATGAGATTCTATTTTATTTTAAAAAGTTTATGTATTTAAAATGGATTAAAAATAATAACTATATCCCGAGTTCCCATCCCCTGTTGTTTTATATAAGAATATTCGAGAAAGTTTAGGGAGATCACTCCCGGTTTATTTATCCTTTATATGTGCTATGTATTTCCAAGTAATCTACATTATTTATTTGTAGTCAAATAAGTAATACTAATATGGTTAACTAAATAACAGATGTGCTATAGTACGCAAATATGTCAGTACATCTGTTTGACCATAAGTCTGAACAGCGCTTGTGATCAAACGTCTGAACAGCGCTTGTGATCAAACGTCTGAACAGCGCTTGTGATCAAACACCCCTTGACAAACCACCTGTTATCACAGACCCTGCGCTGAGAAAACACATGTGGTCAAACACCCTATGGTCAATGCCCTATGGTCAATGCCCTATGGTCAATGCCCTATGGTCAAAGCCCCTATGGTCAAAGCCCCTCTGTGTTCAAAGGCCCGTTATGGTCAAAGCCCCTCTGTGGTCAAATTACCTATGATCAACCCCCTATGGTCAAAGCACATGTGGTCAAAGATTCGCGCACCGCTTTTATGTAATAATGCACTAAACAATGTAAAATAAATTTATACGCTACTATTTTAGTATATAACTATAAAGAAAAGCGTTTAGGAAGAGACCCACGCTTTCCTTTATAGTAATTTTTTCCACTTTTTAGTACATTATTACATAAAAGCTTATTATTAAAACATTTTTTTATGAAATTTTTCCCCAGTACTTTACATTTTTACTTTCTCACTGATACGGAAAAACATAATTTTGCAATCTTGTCCGTATGTCTGTGTGTCTGTGTGTGTGTCTGTGTGTGTGTGTGTGTGTGTAAACACGATTACTTGAGTACCGTTACAGCTAGGTTGATGAAATTTCATATATAAGTATTTTATCAAAATCGTAGATCCGTATCAACTTTTGAGCGATTTCCGATAACCGGAAGTGGTACTTTTTCTACTTTGAATTTTTCAAAAGCCTATAACTTGAGTACTATTTCAGATAGATAAATGAAATTTCACATGTAAGTAAAAGATCTAATTCTCTACATTCTGTTAAATTTTGAGTAATTTCCGTTGACGGGAAGTACTAATTTACGCTATTTCCGATTTCTCAAAAACGCATCTAAATTTATAAAGTACTAATAATATTGCGCACCATTATGAACATCTTTATTCGGCGTTCGCTTGGTGTGCAATACTTTTTTCTATGAGATTCTATTTTATTTTAAAAAGTTTATGTATTTAAAATGGATTAAAAATCATAACTATATCCCGAGTTCCCATCCCCTGTTGTTTAATATAAGAATATTCGAGAAAGTTTAGGGGAGATCACTCCCGGTATATTTAAATTTTACAATAGAGTTGCATGACTAAAAACCATTGCGCAACTAACGAACGTGATAACGCGTGTATAATAGTGCGGAATAGTTGGGTAAGACTGCCTACTAATTTGGTCAAAATTTTAATTAATTCATAAAAAATTAATTAGGCAACCAATTAAGTCAAATTTAATGTCATGTTGCATTGTTTTCATGTTTTCACGTACCAGCGATGAACCGAATCTATCACTATCAGTCAGAAGTGCATAAAATTTCGCTCGGGCTTTTCGATCTAGACTGACGACAGAGACAGTGAGTTAAATAGAAGCTAAAAATAGGGGGAAAACGCGCATTCAGGAAAGTATTTATATAGCTTCAATACTACGTTTATTATTTTTCGTTAAGTTTGCCGAGGGCTTTATGGAAACTAATAGCGCTAACTTATAGATCGATACGTTTTTATTTTTAACAATTATGCCGATGTTTCTTTAATAGTTTCAATGCGATGGTAGATAGATTTAACGGGTCAGTATATTATCGTTTGGATACAGGATAAAGGCCATTTAGGCGACCTCAATTCCGCCATTTTAGATCTCATAATTTAAATATTCTGTGCTGCGTTCAAAGCCGGTGTTATTTAGTTGCTTATTATACACTTCTGTATTTACCTATTTGGTATTTGTGTAACATTCTGAAATAATAAACGGGTATGCGGATATGATAAAATTAGATATTTCCATAATTTAAATTATCATGTTTTATATAATTTTCGCCATTTTTGTTCTTCTTAAGTTTATATTAAGCGCAGCATTCAGCGATGGGGCTATTTAGTCTCTTATTTATTCATCTTTTTAGTTTTTATTTATCATTTTGAATAATAATAAACCGGGAGTGATCTCCCCAAAACTTTCTCAAATATTCTTGTATAAAATAACAGGGGATGGGAACTCGGGCTATAGACATGATGTTTAATCCATTTTAAATACTTAAAGTTTTAAAAATAGAATAAAATCTCGTAGACAAAAGAATTGCACACCAAGTGAACGCCGAATAAAGATGTTCATAATGGTGCGCAATATTATTAGTACTTTATAAATTTAGATGCGTTTTTGAGAAATCGGAAATAGCGTAAATTAGTACTTCCCGTCAACCGAAATTACTCAAAATTTAACAGAATGTAGAAAATTAGATCTTTTACTTACATGTGAAATTTCATTTATCTATCTGAAATAGTACTCAAGTTATAGGCTTTTGAAAAATTCAAAGTAGGAAAAGTACCACTTCCGGTTATCAGAAATCGCTCAAAAGTTGATACGGATCTACGATTTTGATAAAATACTTATATATGAAATATATATAAATATATACTCCGCCTCCAGGTCTGTCTTGGGCGCCCTCTCTTCCGCTTTCCCTGGGGGTTCCACTCAAGCGCTTGGCGTGTAACATTTGTGTGAGCCTTTCGCAGTGTGTGACCCACCCAGCGCCACTTCCTCCTCCTTATTTGCACGCCTATAGGCTCCTGCCTAGCTTTCCTCCATAGTTCCAAGTTCGGCACTTTGTCCTGCCATCTCAATTTCAGTATCTGTCTAAGGCATCTTTTCATGAAGGTCTGTATCTTTGCTGTGCTTGCCTTGGATACTCTACATGTCTCTGCTCCATACAGCAGTACTGCCTTGACATTAGATAAATATCCTAATTTTTGTGGTAATGGAGATGGCCGAACTTTTCCATATGGGTCGCAGGACTGTGAAGGCGCAGCGGGCTCTATTAACTCTAGCGCGTTTTGGAGTTAGGTTTAGGGTTAAATATATTTTCTATATTTGCATATATGTATATATTAATTGGAAATTTAATGTATCCCGAAACCCAGGCTGAATAAATGATGCTGAATAAACACACAAGTCCCTGTCTTTTACAGATAGGTTTTTCACAAAAGCTAGCGCACAGCTTGGTCGAGAAGATATATATATATATATATATATATATATATATATATATATATATATATATATATATATATATAACAAGGAGAAATTTTGAGACGCTTTTGTCAACACCAATTAATAAGATGGTTTAGTAAATTTCAATTTTTGTCAAAACCAATTCTAAGAATGGTTTTATCAAAACCAGGACGGGTTTTTTTAGAACCAATTCCATTGCTTGAGTCATCATATTTGAGTTCACCACCCATTGAAAACAATTATTAATAGAACACTACTGTGACGTGCTAAGTTCCGGAACCCCCACCAAGGTTCGCTAATCGTCCATTCGCTTATCATGCCCAGTCTGTATGCACGTGATGTCATCCTTTCGAGGTCAAGTCAGTTTAACCTAAATAAACGACCGATAAAACAGACAGCGGGGCCTATCAGCTGGAACACAGACAGTAGAGCTCAAGGAATTACCTGTCGTCTGCCAGAAGTGCTAACTTGACCAGGTACCATGTTTGTTTGTTGCACAGATACAATTTCATATCATATTGCCTTGGGACATTGTGACATTCTTCTTTGATTCTATGATATTGTAGTTTTACAGAAAATAAACTAATTTGCACAAATTATTTGTTTGATTTAATAAGCTTCAAACTAAATACATTCAAGTCCAATACAGAAGTGTATGGTAAAGTCACGTGGTAATTATCTAACCCTTATCTAATGTTACTAATCTAATCCTCACCTAAAGGTCGTAATCTATTCCTTACCTTAAGGTAGTAATTTCACCATTGGCTTACGATAATCTGCTAAACCTACCCAGACGGCAATAGTCAAACTCTTAGCGTACGGTTTAAACATAACCGTATCGTAATCAGTTATTTTAGAAGGTCAGTGTGGCATTCATTAGTTAATTAAACACTAACCCAAAACTTGTATCGATCTAACGCAACGAATTAGGTTATTTTTAGTATCGTTTACGTCGATTATCATCACCATTGTCACTTAACCCGTTAGCTGGATCACTGGGATACCACAGTTTACGTCTCCACCACCATCCAACTTTGTTCACTACCTCTCTGATTAGTTCATTTCATTTATGTATTCATTTATTCAATTACGATAACAATAGTAGGCACGAAGGCCTTTTTTCACATTGGCCGTTTTAAAATAAACAAAAAAAAAACAATTTAATAACAGCATTTTAAAAAAAGCAATGGCAGAGTAACGACATAGCAGTAACATAGCACTAAAAATGTGGGATAGCTATAATACAAAATGAGATAAAATAATATTATAATAGATGAATGAGAAATGTTTCAATGAGTCAGTTAGAGAGGTCATTAAATAATTGTTGTTTTAGTTTAGTTTTGAATATATTTTCATATCTAGATAGTTTTATTTTATTAGGAAGATTGTTCCACAAATTAGAACCAGAGTAGGCGAAGCTATGCTTTTGGAAAAAAGTTGTATGTGGGATCGTTAAATTAAGACGACGATTTAATTTTATGTTAAAAGAAAATAGGTCTTATAAGTAAGAGGAGGCTGTTTCGTGGAACATTTTATATTTAAAAATGTATTTAGTATATATTATCTTTTTATTTAATTGAAGTATATTAGTTGTAATAAAAGAATCAAGACTACTAGACAAGCCAGTAACCAGTTTTATAGCCTTTTTTTGTAATGTCCTTAATCTCACCCATCCAGCCCCGTCCCATCCTTGATGTCATCCATCCAGTGGCGGCCCTTCCTTTCCCTTATCCCCATTCTTGCAGTATTGTTTTGGATAGCAATAAGCTGTTTCATCTTATGACATGCCCAAACCAACACACACACAAATTTCTAGATTTGACTTTTGACTATGCTCAGTATACTCTCCACGGGACCAGTCGCATTAGTTTCCCTGTACGTCGAGATTCTTTACATTTCTTGTAATACAACCTTTCAGCGGGTGACAATGAAGCATTCTATTTTTATTAGTTGCCCCTTAGTTCACTATGTCTGTCTTTCTCTTAGTTTGTGGCAAATCTTATATCTAAATTTTGCAGTAATTTCTTTAACCTTTCCAGATTCTTCGTAAAAATAAAGTTAAAGAAAGCTTTATTTCATAAGAAAAGGGTATATTAGTGTTAGTTTTGGAGTTAGGTTTAGGATTACATCCTAGTGACAGGTCTAGAGAGTGCGCTGTAGCTAACGGATGGTCGGACACCTGGGATCCCAAAAGTAGGGGTAGATAATTTTTTTTCGAAATTCATAGCAAACGCTACTGATCGAGGTCTAAAGCAAATATTTTAGTCGTATGCGATGTCGACTTCATTCAGAACAAGTTGAATGCATAAAGAAAGTAATGCTTATTTTGTTTTTAAATACCAAAATATCGACTTACTGTGTCAACTTTTTTTTTAATCAGAAATACTAAACCGTAGAAAATAAAGCAAATATAAAAAAAAATTAATTATTCAACGTTTAAATACACTGAAATTCAAAACATTTAAATTCATAAATTGCACTCATATTACTTTTCAAAATTAGACGTCTTGTTATGTGCATAAGTAAACCATTTTCTATACCTACATGTGATGAAAAAGTATTTCTATTGTAAATCTAAAACCGTCGTTACCAAACTCAAATTGGCAAGGCAAACTGACGCTGTCAATTGTAAGAACAAAAACAATCCAAAACGTACTATTGTTATTGTTTGTATATTTGTTTTATGTATGTATCATCACCAGAATCTTGTTGACATGGAAACTAGCCGTTCTTGTGAGAACTTCATCAAACTTGAGGTCAATCATCTAACCTCTTGGTCAAGCAACGAGTCATCTTTAGGTGAGTTCAGGGGTGCTCATGAACTTAGAGCCACGTTTAGAGCTGTTTACCTCGGATGGTTAGGATTTTTAGAGCTGTTTACCTCGGATGGTTACGATTTTTAGAGCTGTTTTACCTCGGATGGTTAAGATTTTTAGAGCTGTTTTACCTCGGATAGTTAAGATTTTTAGAGCTCTTTACCTCGGATGGTTAAGATTTTTAGAGCTGTTTTTCTCTGATGGTTAGGATTTAGTATGATTTGTGTCAAACGTGTTCAGGCATTTAGATACCAATCTCCAAGTACATGCCTTATATTCGACTACCATGTACATGCCTTATATTCCACTACCATATATAGACCTTATATTCCACTACCATATATAGGCCTTATATTCCACTAACATATATAGGCCTTATATTCCACTACCATATATAGGCCTTATATTCATCTACCATGTATATGCCTTATATTCCACTACCATATATAAACCTTATATAATATAAGGTTTATATATGGTAGTGGAATATAAGGCATATACATGATAGTGGAATATAAGTTATATTCCACTATCATGTATATTCCTTATATTCCACTACCATATATAGGCCTTATATCCCACTACCATGTATATACCTTATATTCCACTACCATGTATAGGCCTTATATTCCACTACCATGTATATAACTTATATTCCACTACCATATATAGGCCTTATATACCACCACCAGGTACTAGCATATCCTAAATACCCAAGGCTGAAATGCTCCTTTAACGTTTTTAGCTTTGAACTATCGTTTATTTGTTCATAAAATTTCTGTTCTTTATGTTTCTTTTTGTGTATTTGTATAGCTATAGGTAGATCCGGGGAATGAAAATCGAACTTAGCCCCCCCCCCCCCTCACTGACAGAAACTTATCTCCCAAGAGTTGGAATTGTTTGCTTTGTTGAATTTTTTAAAAATGGGTTTCTGTGCTTTTAATTCAGCAATACAAAAATAAAAATGTGACTGTGACCTTACAATGTGGATGTGACAGTGGCGTAGGCAGGGGGTGGGGGTTAAGGGGGTTTTAAGGGGGTTACAGGCTCTGTAAAAAAATGTATTGTCATAATTCCGATAATACCACTGTTACTTATTTAAATCTATTTCTAAATCAGTATATATATATATATATATATATATATATATATATATATATATATATATATATATATATATATATATATATATATATATGTATAATTGTATATGAATGTTTAGAACAGTCGTCTAAAAACGGACGCTGCGTTCAATCTGAAATGGTTTATCCCCCCACCCCACCTCACCGCCACAATTGTGTAGAGCGACATTAATGTCACACCTAGGTATACGCTGGGTAGGATAATTCACCGAAAGTGGCTGGACAGTTGTGAATGAAGTTGACCCCCCCCCCCCCCCCCCCCCCCCAAAAAAAACCCAACCCGAACTTATCTGTTAAGTACCAAAGTACCATGCCGCCAGAAACATAGCTTTTGAAACAAGTAAAACTCTGTGAATATTGTTTTTGCAATTACCAGTAAAAAGGTGTGTGATCAATAGACTGATCTAACCCATACCTTATCATTATGTTAAAAAAAATTATCTTTAAAGAACACAGTATCTAATTATAAAAAATGAGTGATCGGAAGTGCAAGGCCAATAATTTAGTTATATATCAGCTATTTTTTTTTTTTGCCTCAGACACGTAATTTATAGCGTCAGTTGTGTGTTCGCTTTAGTATTACAGTTTTCATCATCGGCTTGTGAGGACTGATACAGATTTACAATAGTAATATTTATTTCTTACTTGTAGCCTGCTTTCATTCATTTAAGATGGTTTACTTAAACATAGATCTAATATAAAACGTCTAAATATAAAGAAAAAATTAAAATTAAAAACCAACCTGAAACTGAAAATGCAAATGTGTAATTAAATGATGATTCAAGGGATTTTTTTTTCCTCGGCGTGCGTGGTGTGCTGAGGGGAAGGGGGGTGGGGTGGAATTTGGGTTTTTAAGTAGAGCTGAAAAAAAATTGGGATTACCGAGAATTAAAATTATACAAATTTTAAGCAATCGGAAAAGTTATGTTATTACAATGAGACACATCAAAGCAAACATTCTTCCCTTTCAAACATCCATATCTATACAGTCCTCAAACAGTTTTTTTTTTATTTTATTATTAATTCAATTGTTTTAAACATTTAAATCAGTAATAATAATATATTTGATAGATTTTACACAGCATCAAAGACATGAACAATGAACATCAGCGTATATAATAATCTTTTTTTTTTTTTTTTTTTTTTTTTTTTTTTTTTTTTTAGCATATATTTATAATAATCGAAGGGAGAGAATAAAATGGCATTAAATTCGAAAAGTGTTTTAAATAGAAATATTTGATTTTATACCACCTCTGATTTCAAAAAAGTTCACTATGCTGTTATTTTAGCATTTATGATAACAATATATATATATATATATATATATATATATATATATATATATATATATATATATATATATATATATATATATGTCGGCCTACAAAGGCCTATTTTTTTAATATATGCCACATACGTTTGTATTGTATAAGCTCTAATCACTGCAGATTTTATAGTATCGATGTTTATCTAAAGTATGTTAAGAATATAGTTGATGTAGCACTGTTTTCTCTATAGTAAATACGTTTACGTCATGGTGGCATCCCCACCCTTTTGTAATAATTGTCAATTTTACGTAAAAGACTATTTAACTTTAATTAATCATTAGTGGAACTGGCAAAAGAATATTTTTCTTGTTTACATTTTGCTATTTTTTGCCTAGGTGTCGGGGTTAGGGTTAGGGTTGTCACGCCCACGCCCTCGCTACGCCTCTGATTAGTGTAGTTGTAGGCCTACATTCGTAGTAATAGTAGTAGGCCTAGATTAGTAGTAGTAGTAGTAGTAGTAATAGTAATAGTAGTAATAATAGTAGTAGTCGTAATAGTAGGCCTGCATTAGTAATAATAGTAGTAAGCCTAGATTAGTAGTAACTGAACGCCTAATTTTGTAGAAGTAGTGGGCCTACTTTAGTAGTATGCCCACGCTAGTGGTAGTAGTAGTAGTAATAGTAGTAGTAGTAGTAGTAGTAGTAGTAGTAGAAGTAGTAGTAGTCCTACTTTAGTAGTAGTTGAAAGTCAACTTAAAGATATGTATCATTGAGGACTTCAAATAGTCTGGTCATATGTGATTGAAGGATGTATCTATAGCCTGCTAAGAATGTTATTTCTACTATTCCATTGCCCCCCCCCCCCCTCCTAACTCTCCTTTCCCAAGGATAAAATCTTTAAAAATAACAATCAGCTACACTGGGATCTCACGTGATCAGCATGATTTTTGCCCTAGGAGTGAACTCCCTTAGATCAGCATGGGTGCCGAACCAATCGCCGTCACGCTGTCTCGTTTAATTCATAGGATTAAATCTGGTCGTTTGAATCTAGGTCACATAAGGAGCTGATCACGTGAAGAGTATGTGAACCATGCGCAGACAAAGAATGAGTTCCCTACGTGGGTATTGGCAGACAATTTCCACCGCAGTGGCGTGCAGAGGGGGGGGGCGGAGGGGGCCCAGGCCCCGGGCAGCCACATCAAGGGGGCATCCAAAGGGGGTAAAAAAATGATTTTTTTTTTTAATTTATATTTTTTTTTTTTTTTTTTTTTTTTTTTTTTTTTAGGAAATCTGTCTACTAAGGTTTGTCTACCTAGGCAGAATTATCACAATATGCCGAATTCACCGAAATGTGTATATACAATCAACACATGGCACTGCTATAGTCATCGTACTGTCCGTGTCGTACAACCTTCAGGGAGAAAGGGGCATCGGTGAAGGGTAGTGGTGTAGTAGTCATTGATATTCCCCGAATAAATATATGCAGTCTTTCAATTAATAGAGTATCTGATACTTGTGTAGGTAGGGGCATCTTTTAGAGAACACGCCCATAATCATTTTATACACTTGTGGTCATCCATAGAGTATTAAAGCCCATGATTATAATTTACACACTGTAGGGGCATCTTTTAGAGAACACGCCCATAATCATTTTATACTTTGTGGTCATCCATAGAGTATTAAAGCCCATGATTATAATTTACACACTGTAGGGGCATCTTTAATGTAATTTGCTTATATTCATCATAATACTTTTGAAGGGCATCCAAACACTAATTATGCCCGCATACATTTTATATATCATCAGGGCATCTTTAAAGTAATTTACTTGTATTCACGTTTGTATTTATATAATTATAGCAATTATGCCCATATTCGTTTATATATTATCGGATATTTATTATGCTTATATTCATTATTGAATGTCTGAAGGGCATCCCTACAGTAATTATGTCCTTGTTCGCTTCATATTTTATCGGGCATCTTTATTATGTTTCTATTCATTGCATAATGTTTGTAGGGCATCCTTATTTATTATGATGGACGTAACGGCATTCGTAGACTGATTAAGCACACAGCCTATTGTTTTTTTTTATTCTAATGATATTCTTTATTCATGGCCATTTGGATTTTTGTGTATGGTTAAATACAAACTTTCAAGTCCGTACTGTTTTGATACACTGGGCCGGGCCGAGTTAACTTCATTCTAAAGTTGTCCTTAAGTCTCACACTTCTTAATTAGGAGTCATCCATTTATGACGTCCACAATGGGTGGGGGGGGGGTCCGAAAAAAATTGACTTTTGTGGACGCGTGTGGACAGGGGGAGGGGGGGGGGTTGGCCCAATGTGGACGTCCACACATTAAATCTAACATTATTTTTGGTAGGCGGGGTTATCCCAGTTCAGTTGTGAGACGGGAGAGGGGTGGAGAGGGGGGGGGGCATAGCACGCTGTCCTTGTTCAGGTGTGGGACAGGAGGGGGGGGGGGTTAATACACACTAGCATCAACGTTGGACTCAGCAATATAACAGTGTCAATGCGACTACAAGTGTGCGAAATAATGGCTAGTCAAAA